TAAATAACTGGGACCTAAATCCTACTAAGTTAAAATTGTTGGTAAAGTCGACAAATTTGATGAATTCAAAAGTTGATATGTAATGTACGATACTTGTGAGTAGCATTTTTATTCTTAAATAAAACTGTGAAAATTGATGAAACAGCAAATTAAAAAAGAAGCACCATTTTCGTGATCACGATATTATGCTACCTTGTGCAAGAAATTCTGAGATTAAAGCAAAATTCTGGTGAATTGATAAAATCAATTTATTGGGGATTCCTATTCGTTACCTTTTATCTTAGATAAAGGGTGTGAAAACAGATTTAAAGAGCAGCTTTCGATTTGGGAAGAAGAGCTGGTATAAGTAATATGATTGCACCAAAGTTTATGCGTATAAAATTAATTTTACAACTCTTAGCCCTTGCTCTCCTCACTAATCCGGCTAACATACACAAGCAAAAGACAGTATGCTTCATGTTAGAAATCACGTCAATGTTTCGAATAATACCGATTTCTTTACCTTAGAGGCATTGTAGATCCTTCCACATAGAAATTACTATATATCTTTTCCATTAAACGCAACGATATCGTGTCACAGACCTCTTCACGCAACCTTTTTGCACTGCTATTTGAATATGAATGCTGAATTTTATTGAAATTAAAAGTACGCTTCATGGCGCACGCATGAGTGCAGCAAAATTATATCCCAAGTTCGACATATGCAGCAAAACAGGGTAAAAACGATATGTTTCAATTAGGGCAGAATTATGGTGGCCATTCATTAGAACTTTGCCTCAGACTGACTTGATTTTCAACACAAATGTACACTTAATTTTCAAAAAGCGGGTGGGTAGCCATACAAAACTTCCTACTTTGAGCGCCCTTTCGAGAGTTGCTTTTCACTATCTTACACAAACCCTAAATTTCTCATAAAAGATTTTTATTTAGCACGGGCAAATAAAAATCAAATGATAGAAGCTTACCGTGCTTCATAGAAACTTCGTAGAAGGCATGGGAGGTGCAGAGGAGCCGAATTGTACGAGAAATTACCAGTGACAGCTCGTTATTGACATTTGATGACAATCGGATCGCGCTTCTTTTGCGTCATTTCAACTAGCATTCCAGCACATTTTCCAAATTCCAATAAAACCCATTTTTATTTAAAACTTTTTGATAACATTTCATAGCGCTAAGAATAGCGTAAAATTTTGTTCCTTTAGGAATGGGATCTTTCACAATTTCTAAGCTGTTCATAATTTTACAACGTAAGTATGCATTGTTAATTTGCTTCTATGCTTTCATTAGCATGAGAATCTGGTTGGATTTGAGCGCAATACATTGGCACTTGTCGAGGGTGTATGATGTTGAAAGGTGTTTGACGAGGGGAGTGCGATAGAGACGAGCGGCGTCAAGAGACATAAGCAAATCAGCATTCAACCGTGTCGCTCGTGGACATCTACAAATCTACGAGTCAAGTACAACAATACACAAATTCTAATCCTAAGCGGCTACTGTTATTCTTGTTCAACAACCACTTAAACACTGTCAACCGATGTCAGAAAAAGATTTTCCTCCTTGCCGACAGGCTTTGCGAAGCCCTGATGTGTGCAATTCACTACCGTCCAGCTCCACTGAGGAGGGCCCGGACTCGATATATGAGAAGATTTTTAAATTGCTCATCCGAAGCAAGCAAAAAATCTGCCCTCTGGGACTGATCCAATACCGCTCTTTCTCCTGTTGTGAGCCGTCCACACTTTTTGTTCATTTCGCACTGTTATTTGTTTTCTCCTGTCTGGGACTCTTCCTGGGCTTCCGCATGACGAAAACCTTTCAAGGTAAAAGTTATCTGACATCTGGCATGAGTTCAAGGCATTTTTTTTTGTTTTTTCCAACGCTTACCCTCTTCTTTTTTCTTTAAAATAAATTAATTGAGAATTTTGCAGTGCTGGGTTGGGTGG